TGGAAAAAGTGGCGAATCTGTTTGAACTGGACTGTACTTAAAAAAAAAAATGTGTCATTGAGAAGGAAGGGGTTAGTTTTGTTTTGTTTTTTATTTAAGAGCCAGGATACTCTGAATATAATGAGACTATTAAGTTGGTGGGTTTGAGTTCAAGGAAGAATACAGTTTGTCATAGTAGGGCTGTAAATCATGGCCCTCGGCAAGAACAAAGCTGACTCTTCATCCTGTTGTGTCTGGACCATTACCAGGGCCTGTGCAGGGTTTGCCATCTGTCCTGAAATCCCAGAGAGTGCTAGTGTGAGCCGCTTAACCTTGCTCTGGTTTTGTTGTTTGGTTTGTTATTTTTAATAGAAGGGACTTTTATAAGAATGGCTAGTGTGGGGCTGCGGTGATGGCTCAGCAGCCAAGATGCTCTTCCAGGGGTCCGGGTTCAGTTCCCAGCACTGGCTGCCTGCAGCCTCCTTTAACTCCGGTAACTCCAGCTCCAAGGGACCCGACACCTTTTCTGGCCTCTTCAGCGCGCGCGCGCACACACAAACACACACACACACGGGGGGGGGGGGATATAGCTATAGATATAGATATATACACACACAGCTGGAAAGTAAAATACTTTTTAAAAATGGCTAAATGTGATGAGAAGGAAAAAGAATTTTTGTGCTTTAAAAAGTCTATTTTGTACCTAATAAACAAATCAAAATTTTTGTAAAAAATGAGAACCCCAAAATATGCCCCACACTTGAGAAAAATGATTCTGAGCATAAAGACTTGTACTTTGGTGTTTTGGCAGTTCTAAGAATGTCTAAGTGGGGAGACAGTTTATAATTGGCTCAGATTAAAGACAAATCACTTCAGAAAGGGCCTGTAATTGCCTCTCCCATTTACTCATGGCACCTACTTGATACCTTCTTTGGGGGAGATACTAGAGGTCAAACCAAGGACCCCCACATGCTAAGAATGTACTCTACGACTGAGCTACACCCTTACCCTTTGGGACTGTTTTAAATTAAATTCCTGTCTAAAAGATTTTGAAATTTATTTTGTGGTTTTGTTTTTGGCCTTGCTGACAGAATGAACTCAAGTTGCAGAGCTGTGTTAGAATCTTAACTCTTTCCCTTTTTCCCTTTTAATGTCATATGTGTGCTTATGTGTGCATGTGTATGTGCATTCGTATATGCATGTGTGTGTGTGTGTGTGTGGCCACACGCCACACTTGTTTGTGGAGATCAGAGGACTTCTGGCTGTCACACCCTGCCTTTTACCTTGAGACAGGGTCTCTTTGTGGGCTAGCTACCCGGACTAGCTGGCCTGCCACTTGCAGGGACTCCGCTGTCTATGCCCCTGTCCTGCTGGAGTGTTGGGATCACAGGCACTAAGCAGCCAGCTTTTTGTGGGTCCTGCCTAGTCAGACTCGGGTTCTCCTGCTTGCGTATCAAGCAGTTACCACTCATCTCCCCGGCCCTGGGGCATCAGTGTTATATAAAAATCTACCATCTGCTTTTCAGGCTTCCTTTGTATTATTTATTTTTTAGTTTTGAAAAGTGTTTGTTTATTACTTTTGTGTGTGTGATGGGGGTTACTTATGCCACACGATGCCTGTGCAGGTCAGAGGGCAGCTTTGTAGTGTTGGCTCTCTCTTTCCACCCTTGTGGATTCTGGGGAGCGAACTCAGGTCCTTTGGTGGGAGCTTTCACCCAGTGTGCCATCTCACCCACCCTCTGCCAACTTCTGGTGGCTTTCTTTTTCCTTTATTCTTTTTTGCATCTTTAGTCTTTATGCTCTTCCAGCTATTTTTTTTTGTATTTGGAATATTTGTTTCTTGTGGTACACAAAAGAACAGCATATTTTATAATAGAACAGAGGCTATATTTTTGTCCATCAGACTCTTGCTTAGACCCTTATAATCTCTTTTAGCAATTGTTCCTGCTCAATTCACTTCCAATAAACCCCAGGTCATGTGAGGCATTTCTTTGTTGATTCCTCCTTGGTGATCTTCAACTTTATTTTGCATAAGATTCAATTGAGGAGATAATTAAAAGTATATACTTCTGTTTCTATGGACCTGGTCAGGCCTAAAAGGCATCCTTTATCAAGTAACAGAAGGACACGCTTAGAGATGTATGGGCTCTGAATGAAAACTCATTCATACATCAATGACTTTCAAATGTTTATTCTACTTCAAACCATTCTTAAGTGTTGAACCCTCTAAACAGCCAACATACATCCATAAAGATGTTGACATAGTGTTTGTCAACATAGACCAACACTTTTTAAAAAAGATTTATATTTTTATTGTATGTGTATAGGTATTTTGCTGGCATGTATGTCAGTGTGCCATGTGTGCCCAGTGCCTTTGGAGGTCAGAAGAGGGTGTCAGCTCCTAGAGCTGTGGGTGGTTACCGGCCACGTCAGGTGGATGCTGAAGTGAATCCGGATCTCCTGCAAAAGCAGCCAGCCCTCTGCCGCAGAGCAGATCCTCTGCTCTAGGCTGCCCACACTCACAGCCCCGCTCTGCTCTGCTCTCTAGTAGCTGCCTGACCTTGGGCATGACCTTTTCAGTTGCTGCACACCTGTTCTAAATGAGCCCAGGATCATAGAGAAAGAGACCATTCCCGCTGAGTGTCTGGACAGGCAGACTTGACTTCTGATCGAGAGGGTGTGCTCTGGAAGAGCCGGCACAGACGGAGGCAGGAAGTGCATTTGGATTTTAGTGAGGTGTTAGCTATACTTTTCCCATTGATTGGGGTTCAACCTCACAGTCTTGTTCTGCTGTCTAGTCTGAAAAGAACTGGAGCACAGAAAATGAAGGAAGGGAAAAGGGGTCCCTGCCCCAAGGAGAAAGGGGTCACTGTTCCCAGCCATCACATTCCTATAAAGGAGAAATAGGGGGTGGAGATTAAAATATCTGCATAAAGGGGAGATAAAAGATTTTATTCCCTTTCTTGAATGTAAGTTTCATAGTATTTGATAGAAAAAGATTCATATTTGATATTGCTTTTTTATTTAGTAATTTATTTATTTAGTAATTTTCATTTCTTGATGCTCTTTATACATTTTTTTCTTTTAATGATTTTATAGATTTTATCCAGGCAGTGGTGGTATGCTTCCAATCCCAGTGCTCAGGAGGCAGAGACAGGCAGATCTAGTATTAGTTCTGACTTAAGCAGGCCAATTTGACTCATCTCCGTGCTCCCCACTCTTTTATTTTGACTGTTAGTTTAGCTCATCAGTGAGACTACAGCCCTCATGCTGTGTGAACAGAGATTATTCTTCTCAGATGTTAAAGGATCGCTTGTTCTCAGTTTGATCCCTTCGAGTACCATTTTCCTGCTCTACCCCCACATTGGATGAATGCTTTTTGATCTTCCTTAAATGGTTTTCTTCCTTCATTCGCCTCTTTGCATTTTCGTTTTTTTTTTAATATTTATTTATTATTATGTATACAATATTCTGTCTGTGTGTCTGCCTGCAGGCCAGAAGAGGGCACCAGACCTCATTACAGATGGTTGTGAGCCACCATGTGGTTGCTGGGAATCGAACTCAGGACCTTTGGAAGAGCAGGCAATGCTCTTGTTTAGTGTTCTGAGCGCAATGCTTTTTGTCTGCAAAATCTACAACTCTTACTTTAAAAAGTTTGCTATATTGAATGTGAGTGCAGCCAGTACTGGTTCTTCAGTGGCCAGTGGGGACCTCAGTCCTGGGGTGGATGGCTGTAGAGATGCTGAAAATTTGCTCTTTACCCTCTTCTTGGGGATCTGATTGCTCACTGAATGAAAACCTCTAGGTGCAGTCACTGGATCCACATTTGGGTCAGTTTCTGTACAGCTGCTCCGCCTGATACCCTAGTGTCTCTTGTCTTAGAGATACTCTGATTTCCTTTCTTTCTTTCTTTCTTTCTTTTTAAAGAAAAGAGGTAGGAGGAGAAAAAAAAACCAAAAGAAAAGAAACTTGCTATCTTCCTGGTTGAGGGGGTGGCTCCTGGATGAAGGCTGCTGAGGAGATGGGGTTGGGGAGTGAGTGGAGGCTGGCGGATAATTTCTTCTGAGTCTCACTGCTTCCCTAGCCTCCAGTCTTCTGCTGCCTAAAGAGGTGTGGCTGCTTCCCATGCCTTTGGGCTTCTGAGGGCCAAAGTTAAGTCATTCTGCTTATCTGGGCCAGGAGTCTGTCTTTTCATTGCCATTAATTCGCCTGTTTGCTCTTTTCCAGAGAATGGTAGTTACTCTCCTGATTTCTTGGCATGGTTTTATTTTTCTTTGAAAATTGTTTTAATCTTGTTTTAGTGGGTTACAAGAGACAAAAGTCAGTGGCTGTGTTGAGTCTGCTGAAGATTTTTCTCTACCTGTGAGGCATGTGCAAGGCCCCTTGCTCTAATGCAGAAAATGAAAAAATAAGATAGAAATTCCCCAATGCATTATGATGCATACCTGCAATCCCTGCTCTCTGGAGGGCAAGGGGGAGGCTCATCAGCTCATGACCAGAGCAGTCTATGAACAACTGTCTGTTGACAACAGCAACTCTAGATAAAGGAAAACGTTTAATTGGGGTGGCTTATAGTTCAGAGGTTCAGTCCATTGTTATCATGAGAGGACATGGCAGTGCACAGGCAGACATGCTGGAGAAGGAGCTGAGAGTCCTTCCTACATTTTGATCTATAGGCAGTAGGAAGTGAATTGAACTAGGCATAGCTTGATCATAGGAGACCTCAAAGCCTGCCCCCACAGTGACACACTTCCTCCAACATGACCATGCCTATTCCAGCAAGACCATACCTCCTAATAGTGCCACTCCCTATAAGCTTATGGGGGCCAATTACATTCAAACTACTACAATAGCCATTTTTCATTCTGTTATTGCTGAGTTTGATCTAGTTGAAATTATGATAATTAAGTTTGTACAGATAAGCTTGTAGTGTAGAACTGTGTTGCATCATTTGTATGTAATGAATCTGTCCCTCAGATGGAAATAGTGACACTATATTGTGTCTCTTTTGTTTTCCACAGACAATGGATTCTGAATTATCACACAGTGTAATTGGGAGCTATCATAACCCTCCAGAAAGAATGTGTCCCCCATTGTTCATCAAGAATGAAACACCTCAGATTGGCCACCCTGTGAATTCAGAAGTCACCCCTCCTAAAATGATTAATAGTCCAAACAACCAAGGTAATATTAATATGAAACTTTACAGAAAATTTGTAGCAGGCCATGGCATGGAACAGAGCCTACTGCTGTTACAGAGAAGAGAGTATGATTATGCATTGACTATTCACAGACCCATTGAAGGTGTAAGTCACAAACAATGCCACACCAGTTTGGAATTATGATTAATAGGGTGGTATTTATTTAAAGGGGAAAAAACTTACAGATAACCGTCCCAGACAACAGCCCTCTGCGCTATCAGGAAGGAGTCTAGTCGCCAGAAACGGAGCAGGAAGGGAAGAGAGCGAGAAGGGAAGTAGCCGCTTTTTTAAAGGGAGAGAGACCACGCCCCAATGGGCTGGTATCTCAGCGGCTATAGGCTGGAGGAGCAGAAGGACCTCCCGCAACAACCCATCAACCACGGGTCTGCTGCTGTTCTGTGGGCTTAAATAAGTCACTTGTCATTTCTTAAAATATTGCTTCTTCCATCATAAGCTAAAGATTAATGTAACAAGCTAATAAATATTACACATTTATCATAAAAATATCTTAAAAACCAGAAAACTACTCTTAACAATAAACTGTCAGAGCCTGGGTGTGGTACACACCTTTAATCTCAGCATTCAAGATGTAGAGGCCAGCCTGTTCTTCACAGCAAGTTTAAAACCAGCCAGGGCTAAACAGAGAAATCCTGCCTCAAACAAACAAACAAGAGTAAAAATGTATTAGCTGTTACAGGTAGCTAGATAAGGGAAAATTTTTATTTAGGTGATCGTTTTTGTCTTCAGGGTCTTACACCATAGCCCAGCATGGCCTCAGACACACTGCTTCCTCCCTGCCGCAGCCTTGGGAGTGCTGGCCTCACCAGCATGTGCCTCCGTACAGGTACAGTCACTTCTTCATGTGGCATGAAAGAGCCTACCCTTTGGGCTTCCGTACTTCAGGGTTACATGTATTTCACACTCCCGTGTCATCACTGTGTCCCATGACGTTACACTCTTTGGATCTAGCAGAACTGTGGAGGTTTTTTTTTGTTTTGTTTTGTTTTGTTTTTGTTTTGTTTGGCTTTTTGAGACAGGGTTTCTCTGTGTAGCCCTCACTGCCCTGGAACTTACCAGGCTGCCCTTGAACTCTGAGCTGCTTCTGCCTCTGCCTCCTGAGTGCTGGGATTAAAGGCTTGCACCACTAACACCCAGCTGGAGGTTTTCTAAGACAGAATACATACCAGACTTTAAATGATTTTCAGTTTTTTATCTTGCTCGATTTTGATGTTTAGTCTTCATAGTTTCAGAAAAATGAAGTTTTTGCGTATTTATTTATAAATCAGTCCTTTTTCTATGAAATTTCTTGTCAATTTGTAAATAAAATAAACATCAAAAGGGCTAGCAATAGAGAGAGGCTCAGTAAGGCTACATTCTTAAGGAGAGGAAGCCTCAGCAGTGTGGTGGTAGTCACCTGCCAGCTGCCAGGAGAGGAAACCTCAGCAGCATGGTGGCCATCAGGGGGAACGATTATAGAAGGCTCTGCCCTGCTTATACCTGAAGAAGCATTTAACAGAGCCACATCCCCCAAGTACACCAGTTGAGGAAAAGGGACACCCCTGAAACATGTCAACCTGTTCCGACTGGAGGAAGAAATGGGTAAACTACAAGGTAAGAATACACTCAGCAACATAAAGAGCGATACAGCAGCACCAGAAACTAGTGCTTCTACAACAGCAAGACCTGAGTATCCTAACGCAGATGAAGCAGAAGAAAACAACCTTAAAAATAACTTTATTAAACTGCTTAAGGTCTTTAAAGAGGAAATGAAAAATTCCCTTAAAGAAGTAGAGGAAAACACAAACAAAAATGGAAAAAAATCAACAAATACCTTAAAGAAAACTAAGAAAAAGTAATCAGACAGATGAAAGAAACAGTTCAAAACTTGAAAACTTAAAAGAGGCAAAAAAAGAAAACACAAACGAGAGAAATCTGGAAATGGAAAATCTGGGTAAATGATCAGGAACTACAGAAGCAAGCATAAACAACAGAATGCAAGAGATGGAAGAGAGAATCTCAGGCATTGAAGATATGATAGAGCAAATAGATACATTGGTCAAAGAAGTTGTTAAATCCAACAAATTCTTAACACAGAATATCCAGGAAATCTGCAACACCAAGAAAAGACCTAAGCTAAGAATATAAGGAATTGAAGGAGAAGTCCAGCTCAAAGGCAGAAAATATATTCAACAAAATCGTAGAAGAAAACTTTCCCAACCTAAAGAAGGACATGCCTATGAAAATACAAAAAGCTTACACTAAATAGACTGGACCAAAAAAAAAAAATTTCCCTTGCCATATAATAATCAAAATACTAAACACACAGAATAAAGAAAGACTATTAAGAACTGCAAAGGAAAAAAGCCAAGTAGCATATTGAGGCAGACCTATCAGAATTACACTCAACTTCTCAAGTGAAAGCCAGAAGGTCCTGGTCAGGCACTAAGAGACCACAGATGCAAACCCAGCAAAGCTCTCAATCACTATAGACGGACAAAACAAGATGTTTAATAACAGAACCAGATTTAACCAATACCTAGCCACAAACCCAGCCCTACACAAAGTACTCGAAGGAAAACTCCAACCCAAGGAAGTTAGCTACATCTACAAAAATACAGATAATCACACAGCAGCAAATCCCAAAGAAGGAAAACACACACACACACAATACCAACAACAACAACAAAAGAAAAAATAATAGGAACTAGCCCTCACTGGTCCTTAATATCCCTTAATATCAATGGATTCATTTAATCTATAAAAAGACACAGGCTAACAGATTGGGTACAAAAACATAATCCATCCTTCTGCTGCATACAAGAAACACCTCAACTACAAAGACAGATATTACCTCAGAGTAAAGTCTTGGGAAAAGATTTTCCAATCAAATGAGCCTAAGAAACAAGCTTGTGTAGCTATCCTATTATTCAACAAAATGGACTTCTAACTAAAATTAGTCAAAAAGATGAAGGTCATTTCATATTTGTCACAGGAAAAATTCATCAAGATGAAGTCTCAATTCTGAACGTCTATGACCCAAATACAAGGGCACCCTCATTTATAAAGGAAACATTACTAAAGCTTAAACCACACATCAAGCCCCACATTCTAATAGTGAGAGACATCAACACCTGTCTCTCATCACTGGACAGGTCTACCAGACAGAAGCTTAGCAGAGTTAAGTTATTAAGATGTTAGACTCAATGGACTTAACAGACATCTATAGAACATTCCACCTAAATACAAAAGAATATACCTTCTTCTCAGAACCTCATAGAACCTTCTCTAAAATTGACCACATACTCGGTAACAAAGCAAACATTCACAGATTAAAAAAAAAATTGAAATAACCCCATGTCTTATCGGATCATCATGGCCTTAAGTTAGAATTCAACTACAACCCTAATTGCAGAACGCTCACAAATCCATAAAAACTGAACAATGCTCAAATGAATCACCACTGGATGATGGAAGAAATAAAAAAAGAAATTAAAGACTTCCTAAAATTCAATGGAAATGACCACACAACATACACAAACTTATGGGACATAATGAAGCAAGTGCATAACACTAAATACCTACATAAAGAAGCTGAAAATTCTCCTAGTAGTGAATAAAAGAACAAGTAAACCAATGGAATCTAGTCAGAGACCCGGATATCAATCCACACATCTATAAATACCTAATTTTTGACAAAGAAGCTAAAGTTATAAAATGGAAAAAAAATAAAGCATCTCAACAAATGGCACTGGCATAATAACTGGATGTTGACATGTAGAAGAGTGAAAATTTGTCCATATCTATCAACATTCAAGTCAAAAAACTCAGGTCCAAATGGATCAAAGACCTCTACATAAAACCAACCACACTGAACCTCTTAGAAGAGAAAGTGGGAAGTACCCTTGGATGCACTGGCACAAGAGATCACTTCCTAAATATAACCCCAGTAGTACTGATACTGAGAGCAACAGTTAATAAAAGGGACCTCCTGAAACTGAGAAGTTTCTGTAAGGCAAAGGACACAGTCAACAAAACAGAAGGACAGCCGACAGAATGGAAAAAGATCTTCACCAACTCCACATCTGACAGAGCACTGATCTCTAAAATATACATAGAATTTAAGAAACTAGACACTAGAATACTTAAAAAGTCCAATTAAAAACTGGGGTACAGATCTAAACAGAGAACTCTCAACAGAGGAATCTCAAATGGCTGAAAGGCACTTAAAGAAATGCTCAACTTTCTTAGCTATTCAAGAAAGGCAAATCAAAACAACTCTGAGATACTATCATACCTATCAGAATGGCCAAGGTCAAAAAACACTGATGACAGCTTATGCAGGAGAGGATGTGGAGGAAAGGGAGCACTCTTCCACTGCTGGTGGGAGTGCAAACTGGTACAGCCACTTTGGAAATCAGTATGGCAAATACTCAGAAAAGTAGGAATCAACCTACATCAAGACACAGCAATACTACTTTTGGGCATATGCCCAAAGGATGCTCAATCATACCACAAGGACATGTGCTCAACTATGTTTATAGCAGCATTGTTTGTCATGGCCAGAACTTGGAAACAACCCAGATGCCCCTCAACTGAAGAATGGATAAGGAAAATGTGGTACATTTATATAATTGAGTACTATTCAGCAGTAAAAAAAAAAAAAAATGACATCTTCAAATTTGCAAGCAAATAGATATAATTGGAAAAAAAACCATACTGAGTGAGGTGACCCAGACTCAGAAAGACAAATATAGTATGTACTCACTTATAAGCAGATATTAAACATAAAGCAAAGGATATCCAGCCTACAGTCAACCTAGACAACGAAGAGGACCTAAGAGGGACATACTTAGGAAGGAGAAAAAGACAAGATCTCCTGAGTAAATTGAGAGCATGAGGGGCAGGGGAAGAGTGGAAGGGGAGTAGGAGAAAATTTATAGCTCAATTGTAGTAGGAGGAGCTGGCAGCATTCTGCCACCCAGCTAGCTTACTCCCAAAAAAACCACACAGAAATTGTATTAATTAAATTACTGCCTGGCCCATTATTTCTATCCTCTTATTGGCTAACTCTCACATCTTAATCAACCCATTTCTATTAAATCTGTGTATCACCTCATGACTGTGGCTTACCGGCAAGACTCTAACCTAAGTCCATCTCAGGCCGGAGATTCATGGCGTCTGCCACACTGCCTTCTTCCTCCCAGAATTCTTTTCTGTCTTCCCTGCCTACCTGAGATCCACCCTATCAACTAGACGTAGGCAGTTTCTTTAATAACCAATGAAAGCAACACAAATACAGAAGGACCTCCTACACCACTCAATAAAAACAATTTTTAAAAAGAATATATTCCCAGCAATCACATGGTAGAGGATTGACTGTGTGTGTGCCATGGCACATGTGTACCCACACACATCTATGCACACATACAATTAAAAAGGGGTAATGGCCATGCACGCCTTTAATCCCAACATTCCAGATGCAGAGGCAGGCAGATCTCAGAGTTCAAGGGCAACCTGGTCTATAGAGTGAGTTTCAGGACAGCCAGGCTACACAGAAAAAGATAAATAAATAAATTATAAAAGATGAGTAGATTTGGAATTAGAAATTCAGATTTGGAATTTTTATAACTTAGATAATGCTAGTGAGTAAAGTGGAGTTTTATCACATTCAAGCATCAGTCAGAATTCACATATCCAAGGTTATCCTTGTAAATTTTTTTGGAAGCCATTATATCTAATTAACTATCAAATATGACAATTATAACTTTTTAAACATAAACTTAAATGAACCTTAAAATAGAATTAGAAAGTATTTGTGACTCCAGAAATATTTTATGCTTTATAAATTACAAGATCTGTTTATTAATCTTCAAAAAAAATCTGTTTTAATAGTCGTTGTCTTCGGTAGGGTTTCTATTGGTGTGATAAAGCATCGTGACGAAGCAGCCTGGTGAGGAAAGTGTTCCTTGCACTCACAACTCTCAGGTCACACTCCATCCGTCCCTGAGGGAAGCTTCGCTGACCTGGGGGCATGCTGCTTACCTGCCTGCTTCTCAGGCCAGCCCAGGGGTAGCACTGCCCATGATGATTAATCAAGACAGTGCACCACAGGCTTTCCCACGGGCTAGTCTGGTGCAGGCATCTTCTCAATTGAGGGTCTTCTTCCCACATGATGCTTGTGTCAAGTTGACATCTAAATCAGTGCACCAGCTGCTGTTGCCAGACAAAGAGCAAACAAGTCTCAGCAAGCATTTTACTGTGCTATTAATGTTCACTTATTTATATTCCACTCAGCTCTAGCTTCATCATTTGAAACCAGAAAGGGATAAAAAATGTAAAATAACGTTTGAGAAATGCTGACCTCTCCATTTATCTGCATCATGAAGACACCAATCCGCTAAGGCAAAATCCCAGGAACAAACATGTGCTCCCTGTGTGTCTTTTAGTCCAGCCCGCTTGTTTGCTTGTTTCACGGAAAAACTGTCCCGCCTCATGCGTCCCGATCTTTAATATTGCTTCTCGGACAAAGAACAAAAATGGCTGTGATTTCACTAAAACTGGCCACGTCAAGAACTGAGCACAGCTTTAAACTTCAATTACCATGTTAATTAGTGGAAGGCCTCTCATTTGAATAATAAATTATTTGTGGTTCTGTCCTAGAAATTACTAATTCAGTATATTATTGTTTTTACAATATATGTCATAGGAAATGTATACCTTTTTCGAGTCATTTTAATTCTATCAGTTTAATACATCAACTTCTGGCTACTAACAAACATACACTGTTTATTTTTTATTGTTACTGAAGTTGCTGTGATTATCAAGTTTTCAAAAAATTTTACTGAAAACCTTAAGCAGATTTCTTTTCAACAGCACTTGTTTCAGCATTAAAAACTCTCCAGGAAAAGATCCATCGAATAGAGCTGGAGCGGACTCAGGCTGAGGACAACCTGAACTCTCTGTCCAGAGAGGCGGCGCAGTATAAAAAGGCCTTGGAGAACGAGTCAAATGAGCGGAACCTGGCCCACCAGGAACTGATTAAACAGAAAAAAGGTACGTCAAGGCGGTTCTCAGCGTGCGGGTCCCAGAGCGTGCAGTTCCACAGCAGCAAGCCCAGGGCACGCTGGCTCCTCAAACGTCTGCTTTTACAGCCACGGAGAGCTCGCGGCCGTGGTCTTAGGCATTTTGATATTTATGGGAAACTAAGGTAACTTTGAGCTTAGCTGCATTAATAGCTATTATCCTAGCTCACAAATGCGTTTTTTGAGGCAAGGGTTTCCCACATCCTTCACGCTGGTCTTGAACTTCCTGTAGCCAAGGGTGATCCTTGTGCTTCCACCCCAAGTGTAGGATTGCACGTTCACACCTGCAGGCTTGCTCTGTGCAGTGCAGGGGGCTGCGGTCCTCTAGCAGCTGAACTGCATCCCAGCCCCCAGTGCATACATATTTGAGTTAAAAGACTTAGGTGAGTTGTGTTTAGAAATTAGAATATTTTAGAGTAATTAATAAATCCCAGCTAAACCCATAATAATACCTTATATTTTTGGTTAATGTTAATTTAAAGTTTTTGAAATATAAAGCAATGGTAGTAATTAAACAACATAGAAATAATAAAAATGAATGGGAAATAAGTTTATTAAACTTGAGGAATTTAGGATTAATTAGAGGAGATAGATAGGTAGAGACTTCTGTGGGAACTAGGAAAAGGGTATTAGATAAGAATTTTAAGAAATTTTGAGTGGGAGTTCTTTGTCTAATTTTTTTCTTCAAAACCTTTTTTGTTTTCCTTCAAAAACATTCACTCATATAATCACACCCCTGTTTTTGTTTTACCTTACAAATAGCGTGAAGAATGAGAAGAAAACGTGAGACTGAATAAAATAAACTGATAGAAGTGTACAGATTCAAAACTGGCTACTTGGCGCTGGAGGGATGGCTCAGCCATTAAAGCCCAGGCTCACAGCTAAAACACTGGCTACTCGCCCTTTTAGGATGAACTCAGTGGTCAGTAGTTTGGAGGAGAGGAGAGAGGCAGGCATGGTGGCACACACCTTTACTCTCAATACTTAGGGGGCAGAGGTGGATCTCTGTGTATTCATAGCTAGCCTGGTCTGCATAACAACTTCCAGGCTGGCCAGGGCTACCAAGTGAGAGATTGTTTCACACACACACACAATTTTTTTTGATAAAAAGATAAAGAGGAGTAGAGGAGAGAGCCAGAGCAATGGCTCCATGCTGCCAAACTGATGACCTGAGTTCTATGCCCAGGAGATCTAAATGGCAGAAACTGAAAATTGAAACCCACAGGTTGCCCTCAGACCTGTGAATTTGGTATATGAGTGTTCACCAAAAGTAAGTTTAAAGTCAGTGAGCAAGAGCATTTGCTTACAAGAGTGAGGCCAGGATTAGAATCTCAGGCACCCATCTAAAAGGGCTGAGCACGGCTGTGAGTACCTAGAACTCTAGCTTTGGGGGTAGGCAGGAAAGAGAAGCACATCTTAGTGACTTGCTGGCCAGCCAGGCAAGCTGAACCAATGGCTCCCAGTCATGGGAGAGGCCTGACTCAAGGAAATAAGGCAGAGGGAATAGAGGAGACAGTTGGCATCCTCCTCCTGTGGCTTGTGAGTGTGCAGCACACACAACACACATCACACACACACACACACACACGAAGTCACTTTTAGCTTTGGATTGAGTTTGCAGTATAACTAAATCCCTGATCTATGTAATGATTAGCTCATTATTTTGTCTTTCATAGATATAAGCATCCAGTTAAGCTCAGCCCAGTCTCGTTGTATTCTTCTCGAGAAGCAACTCGAATACACAAAGAGAATGGTTCTCAATGTAGAGCGAGAAAAGGCTATGATCCTAGAACAACAGGTAAGCATCCCCTCCTTTGAGGAATGGTAATTTAATATGATTGTTTGAAGAATAGAATATGGGAAAATTTTCATATTATACTCCGTGTAGATTTTCAGCTGAAGTGATGGATGGTGGACTGTGCTCTTTAGGCCGACATCTTTGCAGAGAAAATAAGAAAGAGTTAACAGATAATCTGAAGAAGTCACAAGAAAGAAAGGAAGAGGGAGGGGCAGGGTTGGAAGAAGAGAGGCGCTAAGGGGGGCAGCGCATTATCAGGGATTCAGGCTGAGTACAGATTTAAATCCCCACAGTTCGGCCTGCTGTTTTGCTTCGTTCCTTGTGAACGCATTAGTGACTTCAGAGGGGGCAGTTGAGACAGCACCTCTGACAGCCCGTCTCTAGCTCAGGAAATAAGCCTGAAGCCTACAAAGAGCAGAAGGCCTAGGACCTCAGGCTTCGTGCTTCGTGAAGGTGAGTAAGAAAACAGAAAACCTCAGTGACAACCAGGAGCAGGGACTCAGAACAGGACACGGTGACACTCCCACAGTTAGCTCTGAGTATGCCATGGCTCCGACAGATACCAGCACTAGTCAGGAAGGGGTGCAACTGAGGCAGGAGCCGCTGGAGTTGGGAAGTTTGAGCCCACTCTGGCAACATAATTAGACTCTATCTCAAAAAGGAAGAGGTGGGGTGTTGCAATGTGGAGCGGCGGGCCGCTTCCCACAGCCTGGCTCCTAGCCGCCTGGCTAGCTAGCTTATACCCCGAAATAATTACATGAAACTGTATTCATTTAAACACTGCCTGGCCCATTAGTTCCAGCCTCTTATTGGCTAATTCTCACATCTTGATTAACCCATTTCTAATAATCTGTGTAGCACCACGAAGTGGTGACTTACTAGAAAGATTCTAACCTGCATCCATCTCGGGCCGGAGCTTCATGGCGCCTGCCTGTCTCTGCTTCCTTCTCCCACAATTCTGCTCTGTCTTCCCCACCTACCTATGTTCTGACCTATCAGGCCAAGCAGTTTTCTTTATTAATTAACCAATGAAAGCAACAGATAGATAGAAGACCCTCCTACATTAGTGGGGGAGGAAGACAACATTCTCTGCTGAGTGTTAGAAACCATAATTTGGCCAAGAGAATTAAATATTAAAAATGAAATTTAGAACTAGTAGATCTACTAGATGATTATCAGACAGAATTCAAGAAATGGACACATGCCACCCACCAACAAAAAGCAAAATTATAGTAAATTCAGAAAATAAGGATACATATCAGTGTAATAAGGAAGATCTAACGGGATATATAACCAGAGGTTTTAAAGTGGAGAGAAAAATGATGTAGAATTAATCTGGTTTTGCTTTGTTTGTTTGTTTGTTTGTTTGAGGCAGGGTTTCTCACTGTAACAGTCCTAGCTGTCCTGGAGCTAGCTCTTGTAGACCAGGCTGGCCTCAAACTCATAGAGATCCTCCTGCCTCTGCCTCCCTAGTGCTGAGATTAAAGACATGTACCACCACCGCCCGGCTAAGAAGTAATTCTTGAGAATAGGGTAACTGAGCATTTTTCAAAATGGATTAAAAATTGAAATTATACCATTCAGTCAAGAGGCACCTGAGACAATTACCTCTTAAAATGAAAAGGTTGTCAGGTGTGATGACTCAGGCCTTAAACCCTGCACAATGGAGGCATATCCACTTGGATCTTTCTGAGTTCAAGTCTAGCCTAGTCTACATAGTGAATTCCAAAACTACACAGAGAGACCCTGTCTCAAAAAATAAAAATACATAATAAAATAAATAAGGTAAAAAAAAAAGTGCTCCGTGTTTATTTCAGTTTAAGCATTCCCATCCATGGTTGCTTCGGGCCTGTGGCTTCATAGCAGGGGCTTCAGGAAAATGAAACCTTGCTGTCAGAAAGCAGGAGTGATGAAGTGGAGGCCAGGGCCACACTCCAGTGACAAAGTCCCCCACTGTGCCCCACATCTCCATCCTGTGGAAAGAATTGTTCTCTTTTTTTCTTTCTCATCATATTCACAATTAACGTAATAAAAGCTGATTTGGGGGTTGATTTTATGGCTTTTGTTTTGGGTTTCTTTGTCTTTCCTAGTGCTGGCTTAGTGGTCATAAATGACTTGGGTTTGTCAAATATATTTCTTCATTAATTTTAAAAGATAACTTTTCTGGATGTTGTCATCCCAGTTGGTAATCATTTGCTGTTGGGGCTGGAACTACATCATTCCATGCTCCCATCATTCCGTGCTTCCTGTCCTTAGGGATTTTGCTGAGAAGTTTCATGTCATTCTGATGGGTGTGCTTTCGTTGCTGGTTTTCTCTTGCTGCTTGTAATGTTTCTTCTGGAGTTCTGGTCTTTTACCTGTGCTGTGTGGTGGAGTGGTCCTCTTGGGGCATGTCAATTTGGAGTTCTAAGTACCCCTTGTATTTGTGGGGGTTGGGGGAGATTTTCAGTGTTGTACAAAGGAACACATGAACATATGGGCATGAAAGGAATTGGGCAAGATGATTTCTTTTTGGAAAAGGATGCTCTAGAACCCCAGCTAAACTAGGTAGCACGGGCGGCAAGCCTGCCTTTCATCCCTGGCAGAGGCAGTGGTTACATCTCTTCCCACACAGTCTGGTGTGATTGGCTAATTGGCAAGAAGGGGAAGTTTCAGGAGCTATGGTCCTTGTTAAGCTAAATACCTTTTTTGGTGGGGGGCATGTTTCTCACTTTAGATGTCCATTTCTTTTCCCAAGTTGGGGAAAGTTTTGTCATAACTTACCGATTGTATTGCTTTCCCCGTTTCTGTGACAGGATACCTGACCAAAGCGGCTAAAGCAAAGGAAGGGCTTATTTGGGCTTGTAGTTTTGCAGTGTAGTAGCCCATTTCAGTAGAGAAGGCAGAGCAGAAGAACACGAGGCAGCTGGTTACACTGCACCTTCTTCAGTCGGGAAACAGAGATGGGTACTGGCATTCTGCTTCTTTCTCCTTTTTCACTTCAGGGCCCCAGCCAATGGGATGATGCCACCTACATCCATATAGGTCTTTCCTCCTGATTTAAACCTTTCTGGAAAGAGTCTCATATACATACCTAGAGATGTGTTTTTGTGGCGATTCTAAGTGCAATCAAGTTGACAGTGAATATGAGCCATCACAGTCCTGTGCCTTATCAACCTGATGGCCAAGCAGATGTACTTTAGAGCATAGCACTCCACCCTGTGCATCCCAAAGTTTCATCTTCATCTCACAGTGGAAAATACTTTTACATGTCTAAAGGTTCCTATAATCTTTCAACAGTTCAAACTCTTCTGAGACTCAAGACAAACTCTTGCCTTTGAGCTCCCATAAAATCACGAAGAATTCCAGTCCAGTGATACAGAGTAGACTTTCCTACTACAAAAGAGGGGTAGGGCTATACAAAGATCAAACCAGAACCAGACTGAAAGTCAGCAGAGCTAGGATCAGCCTTGTGCTGTGTGTGTGTGTGTGGTGACTGGGGCTGTGATGGAGTAGTCTATGCTCCAACAGCCTTGAGGGGTCTGGCACTCCTGCCTGTAGCACACACGGCCTCTCTCTTGAGGGGTCCTGTCCTTCCCACTCTCCTGCCTGTAGCACACACGGCCTCTCTCTTGAGTGGTCCTGTTCTTCCGGCTCTCCTGCCTGTAGCACACACGGCCTCTCTCTTGAGGGGTCCTGTCCTTCCGGCTCTCCTGCCTGTAGCACACACGGCCTCTCTCTTGAGGGGTCCTGTCCTTCCGGCTCTCCTGCCTGTAGCACACACAGCCTCTCCCTTGGGCCAGGTCTACTATATGCTTGTAACTTTCCTGAGATGTCCCATGATGTTGCTGTCTCCAACATGCTGGAGTCTCGCTGCAGTTTAGACTTCACCTTGTCTGCTTCGTGCAGTAGCCTCTTTGCAGGAACTTGGAACCTGTCACACATTGCCTAGTGTCAGTGGCCTTCAGACATCTTGGTGCAAATCCTGATGACTTCTCACTCTTCTGTCTCTCATTTATGCAAAACCAAGACCATGTGGGTGACACTGCCAAGTTCTTCTGCCAGCCCAAGATGTGGTCTGACCTCTTGGGTCACGGTTACCCTGACCTCTGTTTGCCTACAGCTGTTTTCAATCTGTGAACCCTTATAATGGTATTCCCAGTTCAGACTCTTGGCTTTCAAATGAATTTGCATTCTCACAAATTGGAACCTTCCATGGCTCTGGTCTTACCCTCATAGCAACTTTCCTATTGTTCCAAGGACAGGACCAAGTTCTCTTTACTGGCAATACTACCTTTAACACTTAGAATGGCTGCCCATCCTCCTTGGCTGCAAGGACAGGACCAGGTTCTCTTTACTGGCAATACTACCTTTAACACTTAGAATGGCTGCCCATCCTCCTTGGCTGCAAGGACAGGACCAGGTTCTCTTTACTGGCAATACTACCTTTAACACTTAGAATGGCTGCCCATCCTCCTTGGGTGCAAGGACAGGACCAGGTTTCTCTTTAACGGCGATACTACCTTTAACACTTAGAATGGCTGCCCATCCTCCTTGGGTGCAAGGACAGGACCAGGTTTCTCTTTAACGGCGATACTACCTTTAACACTTAGAATTGCTGCCCATCCTCCTTGGGTGCAAGGACAGGACCAGGTTTCTCTTTAACGGCGATACTACCTTTAACACTTAGAATTGCTGCCCATCCTCCTTGGGTGCAAGGACAGGACCAGGTTTCTCTTTAACGGCGATACTACCTTTAACACTTAGAATTGCTGCCCATCCTCCTTGGCTGCAACATTGAATTTCCTCGGTGCTCTCTTCTTGACTACACTGCACATTTTCATACTTTCCTGGTCCACTGTTTGCTCTCTCTCTCAAAGCAGTGGGAAATAACAGTGCCAGAGCCTGAATCTAATCTTCCCTTGAAATTTCCTCTACTTAACAAATTAATACATTGCTTTTTAAGAGGCTTAGTGTGTGTGTGTGTGTGTGTGTGTGTGTCTGTGAGAACACATATGTAT